AAATAACCATCGTCGGATTTTTAAACTATTAAGACTAAAAGTGTAACGCAGAATAACAAATCTCTTAAAGAATTGAAAAAAATTATTAAATAAAAAATATTTATTTTCAAACATTGAATCTACATTCTAAACATTTCTGAAACTTTTAGTGTAATTTAAACTGTGATATTAAATAAATAATAATAATATTTAATTGAGGTACGTGAAAAATTAAAAAAAATATATATATTAAAAACTGCAAATAATAGAAAAATTCGCAAAAGAAATTTTTAAGAAAAAATATACAATTTTTAAAATGTTTTTGCTGTGATTTCTATAAAACCGATATCTGAAAAATTTAACTGGATTATAAACAAGTAAGAGTTCTATATTCGGCTGTGCATAAAGTTGAAAAATGAAAAAGTACCAGAAAGTGCACTTTTTTATTGAATTTCACCCAAACAGGATGCTGCGTACTTAATTCTATGTTTTTTAGGTTTAAGGCCTTATTCATAAACATTTATCAAAGGTTTATGGAACAAATTTTGCAAACTAAATTTTGATTCATAAACCTTTGATAAAAGTTTATGAATAAGACCCTTAACATTAATAAAGGTTCAAAAATTATCAGTTGAAGAACAAAAAAGTATCACAAAGTTTAGTCTTATAAATGTTTAATATATTAGGATCCTATATGTATGATTTTAGGTTACTATGTTCAAGAATACAGAAAATCAAAGAAGTACCATTTTAATGACGAAAAAGTACCAGAAACTTCCCTTTATAAATTTCCATTCAATCAATATACTGTGTGTTTATTTAATACTAGCATACCCCGGGTGCTTCGCTACCCTAACTTAAATTAAATACATACAAAATTTTGTTTACATTTATAAAAAAATTAAAATTAATTAAACATTTTTTTAATGTTTCAGTTTTATACGTTCAATATCACGTGATTAAATTCGCATTCAATAAGAAGCTGAATGCGAAAGTACTACTGAAAAAAGTACTATAAAATACCTCTAATAGATTAATATTTAATCAAATATTTAATGTTTCTGTGTTCAATATTATATACAAATCAAAAAATATAGTTTGATGAATGAATGAAAAGTACCAAAAGTCCCTTTCAGTAGATTCTCATTCACTAAGGTCCTTACATTTTAAATTTTATTTTCAATATCTATGTTCAATTTTGTAAAAATATCAAAAAGTACCATCGGAAAAACGAAAAAGTACAAAAATCTCTCAATAAATTCTCATTTAATAAGGACAGTGTGTTCCGGCTAACCATTATAAAGAATCTAAAAGGTACCATTTGAAGAATAGAAAAGTACCAAATAGTTACCACTTACAGAATATTATTTAGTCAAGACCATGTATGTTAAAATAATGTTCCTAGGTTGAATATACAGAGTATCATTTGAAGAATGAAAAAGTACCAAAAGTGGAATAAATTCTACCTTAGTGGAAAGTACTAAAAAAAATAGTACAATTTTTCCCCTTTTCGCTTAGAAATATACTTTTTTGAGAATTAAGATTACAAAATGTTCCGTACTTATGTAAAACTATATATCACAGATAAAACTCAAACGATTCAAATCTGCATTCATTTGTTCCAGAAAAATAGTGCTTTTAAAAAGTACCAAACAATTTACTCGAATTTGGTCCTATATAGATCTTAGTACTCGAATTCCAAAATAATATACCAACAGCTTATTTTGTGTGAGTTAATAAAGTACTTTTTAAAATTTTATAAAAATTGGCCGAATGAGTTTGAATAAAATTAAATTTCCCGTTTTTCCCCTTTTTGGTACTTTTTTCCGCAGTGAAATAGCAAAAATTTTATTACAATAAATATTACAGAGTTAGTCCGTAATTTAATAGGAATAATTCAATAAACCGAAAAAGTTTTCTTAATGTGCTAAAAAAAGTACCATACCACCCAAAAAGGACTGAATATTAAAAAAGTACGAAACAGGTGTCTCATAATTTTGGGAGATGTATCCAAAATATTTATAAAAATTTTATTATGTTAATTAGTTCAAAAGTTATAAAGGGCCAAAAAATGTACCAAAATCACAATTGTTACACATTTTTACCCCTTAAAAGTACGAATTTCAGAAAAGTACCAGACACCCATCTGCTCATTTTAAGAGTAGATACAGGTCATTTAAAATTTTTCTTGTATCACTAATATTGTGTAAGATAATTAAGAAAACCTGTTTTACCCGTTTTTTCCACTTTTTACCCATAAATGTACAAATTTTCAAAAATCCCTCCTTAGTGGATCTAGATAACCAAAAACACATCTACTGTCAAAATTTCATGATTCTAGGTTTAGCCGTTTGGGCTGTGCGATGATGAATCAGTCAGTCAGTAACGCTACTCTTTTATATATATAGATTGCATTTCGAGGTTCAGAATTATAAAAGATTAAAAAAGTACCAAAAAATTTACTTCTATAGACCAGTTGAAGCATAAGAAGTACCAAAAAAATCATTCCTATAGACGAGTTGAAGAACACAAAGTATCAAAAACTTCACTCTTGCAGATTTAAATTCCATCTGGCTTCTGGATTCAATATTGCAGAAAAACCAAAAAGGGCCAATTGAAAAAAGAAAAAGTACCAAATATATTTTTCTACAGATTTCCATTCACTCAAGGCTCCGAATGTTGAAAAATGGTCCTTGGTACCAGAGTTTCAAAGAACACCCTATTAGCATATTTAATTTTACAAATTTTAAAATTTTTTCTCACTCACAATTTTCCATCTTTGATTTTGGCAATAACAACACACAGCTTCAAACGTTCCCTGCAAAATTACTGGAGTATATGATCAGTTTAGTAATCCCATATTATGCAGGCATGTTTATTTTTTTAAAACTAAATGGTCCATAGCCTGCATAACATAGGATCACGTTGCGGATCATGTACTTCATAATTTTAGCAAGGGAGTACCCAGCAGTTCGGTCGGACAGTCCCGAACTACCTATTTAGCCTAACGCTTAGGGTTACTCCTAGCCACCGACTGTCCAGGTGACTAGCTATTTTAACATGTGTTTGTCCTACGAGGAAGTCAATTGTCGCTCCATAGATTACGAAGAGAGAGAGAGACAAAAAGCTTAAGTTAGTTTTTTAAGTGTCCCCTCTCTCGCTTACAAAGGGGACACATAACGATTATCTTCACCCTCGTTTACAAAGATGAAAGACGAATTAAAGCCAACCAGTTGGTTAGACGTTAGTGGAAATCATTTTTTAATTTTTTCGGATGCATTGAATCTTTTTCGAACTGCTGGGTAGTTTAGGGATTACCCTGATGTAATGCGTGGATTGATTACGTGGTTCTCACCTAGGACATGGGAATTTTAATTGGATTATGTTTTGTTCCATATATTTGGATTAGTTTTGGACCAGTCCTAGTCTTTTGAGGAGTACTCTTTACATAAGTGTACGGAGTAGTTTTTCTAATTCTCAAAAGCTTGTCTGATAGAAATAATGAAGATTTAGATCTCGGCAGATATATGGGGTCTTATGAAAACCCCTTTTCTGCAAAACCAAAAACTATAAAAAAGGCTTTTAATTAAGTTTATGCCGAAGTTAACTTCGAAAAGGTGTAGTTGTTAAAACAGACCAAAAGATATTAAAACGAATATCGATTCCATAACCGAATTGGTTTCTATTCCGGATTCTCATTTCCACAAAACTAAAAACTTTAAAAAGCTTTTGATCAAGTTTATGTCGAAGCAAATTTCGAAAATGTATAGTAGACTAAAACGGAACAAAATTAAACTATTACTTATTAAAACGAATATCGATTTCGTTCACGAATATAAGTTTCTATTCGGTTTTGGCCAGAAAACAAAAAATTCGTTCAAATGATTTTTTTAGTAACAGTAGTAACATATTTTTTTTTTTTTTAATTGAAAAAAACCCTAAAATAAACATTTACAATTCCCACCAAACAAATTTGTTGCTACAGACAAATACACTAACCTCAGTTGACCCTCTTTTTATGCAAAATCAAACATTTACTTAAAATTAACCAAAAAAAAAACTACCAAAAAAAAGATAAATACTTCAAAAAACCAACGAAATATATAAAAACATATCAATTGAAACGTTTTAAACAACAATTCAAAAAAAAAAAGCTGTCGATCATATCGACACGATTTTTTCATTTCAAACATATTTCTTCCTCTGAGACCGGCACCTTCAGTAAGCCAAATAAATACCAATGAAATGCATTTACAACACTACCAAAAACCCGGCTTAAACACTCTACACTAATATTTAAACAGTCACTTGGAGCCAGTTGGCTTGAAAGGTAGAAAAAAAAACTTCCAACACCAAGCTGTGAGCACTTGTCAATATTGTATGAAGGAATGGAATTTATTTCAATTTAATTTCGATCGATCTTTTCGTTTGCTAACAACGCAGAAACTAAAAAAAAAACTGTAGTTGAGTTGTTGTCTGTTTTTGAAATATTTATTTATGAATAATAAAAGAATTAAAAACCACGTTTAAAACATCGTCAAAATTTGATGCATTGTTCACGTTTTCTTCTTGTGGGTAATGGATGTTGTACTTGTCTTGATTTCATTTTTTTTTTTAGCCATAAACTCTCACAGTTTGTTTAAAATTAAAAGATGATCTCTGCAGAAGAAAATAAATTTACAAATAAATGTTACGCATGCGCACGTTTTAAGATTTGATTTTTTGTTGTGGTGTGTTTTCTTTTGTGAAAAAATCAGGGATTTTATTTGAATTCTGTTTTAAATTTTATTGTTTTTATTACACACAATATGATTGATTACTTATTTATTGATTTCAAAAGTTATGTTTTTTTTACTTTTCTGGTTTGTTGGCAGCGGTTTCAATAAACAAAATTAATCACCCACACGTTGTACAAACATCAACAGTTTGTTTTGTAGAAAAAAATTACAACAAAATTTTTTTTTTTTTTAAATCTTAATAAAACATGTATTTTTTTTCTCTCCCCAATTTGTGCACTTCAGGGTCGTATGCCCTCTCTTAGTCGTGCCGTCTCCATGGAACATCGTTTTCAAGATATAGCCAGTCTTTTCAATCCCATGGGTGTTGTAGGTGGTGTCTCCGAAATGTCTCCTTATCCCCACTATCCCTCACATCCTTATTCCTATCAAAGTGGACCACAACATGCTCAATATCCTCCACCACCACCACATCCCCATCATCATCATCACGCCATGTTACATCCCAATGCCTCTTTGGGTGATTTGTGTTCGTCACAGCCTCATTATGGTCATAATTTGGGTTCTGCCGTTTCGTCTAGCATGCATTTGACTAATTCCTCTCACGAATCTGATGTTTCGGGTGTGGGCGCCGGTGCTGTGGGTGGTTCTGCTGCTGCAAATATTGGAGCTTATAAAATGGAACATGATATGATGTATTATTCGGTAAGTGATTTGTGAATTGTATTTTGTTTGGTTGAGTTTTTAACTTGATTTATTACCTTCTTCTTAGAACGCTTCTTCGGATATGAATCACACTACCGATGGTTTTATCAATTCAATTTTAAATGATGAAGATTTACATTTGATGGATATGAATGTTAACGACAGTAAGTACAAGAAATTTCAAAGATTTTTAAACAAATTTCAAATTCAATTAAGTCATTACTAAATGGCCCTATGATCCTATCAGGATCGAAATAAATTAATCATAAGTCATTACTAGACTCTTTATAGGTAATGTAGTAGTCATTGAAAAGTAAGTTCTTGAGCAAATACTAGTCATTACCGTGTTTTTGCTGGGTGTTTTTCTAAGGGATTGACTTGCGTAGAATTTCTACACCATAAAATTACGAGATGTCGTGTCCAAAAATTTTGGTCCATATCTATGACTTTATAGAAGCGCGAAAACACCTTTAATTATAAAATAAAGTCCAATCTACTGACTTTAAAATAAAAGTTTAACCTGCTGTATATCTTCTTCTTCTCTATCTTCTTCTTAAGTTTAAAACTGCTATAAATTAAAAAAATAAAATATGTATTTATGATTGTTAAAAGATGGAGGAAAGAATATATAAGAGAGATCAAAACTTTATTTCAAAGTCGAGAGATTGAACTTTCAGATGATATAAAAGATATCACGCTATTGTAACGTGGTCAAAAACGGGTTTATTTTACGAACAATTATTAATACACTTTATTTCAGATTAGGATACGGGGCTGCTCAATTATTTAGAAAAGTTTTTTGTTATAAGGTCTTACGCCAATAAGATTTGAGGCCAATTTCTTGGATTTTCTAATTCTGGAACATATTTTTTGAAAATATTTCAAAAATGTTCATGAGTTTTAGAACACTTTTTATAGCATGAAAGTATACACTTCTGTTCCTGCAAAAATGAATGAAGTAAATGATCTATTAAAGTAATCCCAAAACTATTCCCCTGTAAACATGATTGGAGAACATGATCCGTTAAGTAGTCTAATGTAATGCAGGCATGGATAATGTTAATTGTTTTGATAACAACATGGTCCATAGCCTGCATAACATAGGACCATGTTGCGTATTATGTACTCCTATCATTTTAACAAGGGAGTAATCTGATGTAACAAGGGAGTAATCTGATGTAACAAGGGAGTAATCTGATGTAATGGGATTAATCTGATGTCATGCATAGATGGATTACTTGGTCCTAACATAGAACATCACAATGTTAACTGGGGTGTGACTTTTTGTTCATATATTTGGATTAGTCTTGGACCAGTTCTAGTCTTTTGAGAAGTACTCTTTATATGTGTGTGGGGAGTAGTCTCCATTTTTGCAGGAGTATTATTTACGTATGGAAAATCAAATGATATTCAATATTTTTTGTGTTTACACTATTGGTATAAGACAATAACAAAGTAGAATGGTAACAACTGTTTCTTTTCTTTTTTGTATATGTTTACATTAAAATACATCCCTGATCTAATCTTGCTTTTAAAATTTTTCATTTGTAATATATCGAAATTTTCGAAGGATCGGTCACAGGTCATAATTATGAATACCTATAATTTGAACAAACAAACGGCTTTATTTTGTTTCCAATATTAAAGTGTTTTTACTTTTTTGAAAATTAAAAATGGCTACATAATACATATTTAAAACTGAAATCTGATTTTAATAAAAGTTTGTGGGAATATGTGGATTCAAACCACCATTTTTTTTTTTTAATGTTATTCATAATTCAGACCATTGACACTAACTGAAATTATGTATAGAAAGACATTGCACTATGGGTCAATGAGTAAAACGTATAACAGTGTATAAGTATATGTTGACAGCTTATGAATAGCGTAAACATTATAACAGATTTATTATCGATGCAAAATAATGCACTATAGCTCGAAAAGAACTAATGATAGGCAAAAATAGTGTTCAACTAAAATGTAAGAAATTTAATTATCAACATAAATGTAGTAGAGTCTGAAGTCATAGAATTTACAACAAGTGAAATATTTATAAAAAACTGATTTTTGTAACCTTTGACCCCCAATATCTTGCTTAGTATACATGGAATTAATGGTAACTTTCAGCCCCTTAATAACGACCACCAAGACGAGGACATGTATTATTTTTGACTTACTTCCCAGAGCTATAATTATAAAATTTTCAAAATTATAGTATTATAAAAAAACCGTTAAATTTGTATTTAAAAATTTAGGCGGGAACTAACTGTTTCTGTTCTTTAATATTCAAATGAACTTTGAACGTCTAAAAAGTAACAAAATTGAAAACAGAATTGTTTTTAGTATGTACTCTATACAACATTTACCTAATGGGCATGAAAAGAACGTGATTAAGAACAAATAAAAAAGTGAATTTCTGTTGAAATAAAAAATAAGATAAAAGACGACAAAATAAACTCAAACGATAAGAAAATTTGCAAAACAATTGAGAGAAATAAACAAGGTTGCTTAATTATGATGACAAATGAGTAAAAGCTTTTTCAAAACGTTACACACTCAAGAATAATTCTTAAAAAACTACAACAATAAATTAAAAAATAAACAACAGGTTGAGAATGAAGAGTAAACAACAACGACAGAAAAATTATGTATGAAGTAAAAAAAAGCTTTTTGGCTAAAATATTTATTTTTCAATAATTTGTTAATATTTTTTGAGTGAAAAAAAACAGCCCATAGCGACAACACTAATACAATCTCCCGCTAAAATACACTCAACAAAAAGAAATAATAAAATAAAGAAAAATAAAGAACAACAAGGCGACGAGAAAAGTTAAACACGATTTGTGTATACCGTCATCATTATCATAATTTTAGCTAAATAGACTAGACTGGACTGTGACTACGTGCTGCTGTTAAGCAAAAAAAATAATACAAATAAGATCGCAGCACCCACAATAACAACAACAACAAAATTATACTCAAAATACCGCAATATTTTTTTGAATTAATAAAGTTTAGAAATAAACAAGTGCCAATGTACTTGATATAAGAAAATAACAACAAAAAAATGTCAGCAAAAGAAATTAAACAAATTTAAATAATCATTAAATATAAATAATTTGGCATGTGAGAGTTGATTTTTCTACGTATAAAATAATTAAAAGATAAGAAATTAAAAATAAAGAAAAACAACAACATTAATATATTCAGTGATTTATTTTCGTAATTGAGAATTTGCCTTGAAACACATAAAAAAGCGTACAAAAACAATACAAAATACAAAGTAGAATAGAAAACGAAACAAATAAAAAAAAATCAACAGGTGAGCTTTGATATTTTCTACAATTGTTGTTGTTTTTAGCTTTTGTTTGTATGAATTAAGTAAGAGAGCAAACTGTTGCAGTTATTATTATTTTTTTTTTGCTTCATTAATTAAATTTACGCCAAAAATTTAATTTTTACGAGAGAGCAAAAATTGAATTACACATTTTAAGTGAAATATGAAAGAAATTTGTTATCTTGGAACAAAATAAAAATGGGATAAAAATGTTAAAATCAAAATAATACATTTGAAAACTGAACCTTCATAAATTTTATTTTAATGTTTAACATTTAAAATAATTAGTTAAAAATAAATAACATTTAAAAAAAAAGCCGGCAAAAAGTAAACAAAAATATATATGGCAACAAGAAAAACAAATATAAACAAATAAATTAATAATTTAATTTCACTTAATACTGCAAACTTATAATTAATATTAGAAAAGCTGGTAAATTGAGTAATCAATCATTGAAATTTGGATTTTTGTAACAAAATAATAAAAACTTAATCACATTGTTACAAATAAAATAATAAAAACAAACATTGTTTTCTAATGTGTCATCATCAGACTAGTGTTTATAAACCGGTTAACCGGTTAACCGAAGAACCGGTTTTTATTGCATATTTCGGTTTTTCGCAAACCGGTTTTTTAAAACATTGGTTTTCGGTTAACCGGGTTATCCGGTTTTTAAGTCTCGGTTAACCGATTTCAAAAAAATCTAATTTTTAGTACAAAATTGTATGTTTTCTTTGATTTTTTATTGTGATTTTTAAAAATTTTGGATAGTTGAGATTGTTAAACAAATGTTAGGAAATGTTAAACATATACTATGCATATAAAATGGAGATTTACAATTTCAGACAATCAGGAAATTAGTAAAAAGTTGGCATTTAAACCAATAAAAAATTAAGTATTTAAACAAATTCCAACCATTATATGAAGAAATTTGTTACTTATTAAGACGAATAAATAACTTTGATTATAAAATGCACTTCCTTGTTTACTGCGTGAGTATAATAAAAATCGAGAAGTTTGTCAAACGTTCTCAAAACGAATTTTATTTATCAAAACATAAGGGTAATTGTCGCTGTCCGAGAATTTATGCTGCTGGGGTTTTTCACAAACTGTAATGGCTCTTAGGTTGATTATCAGGAAGTAAGTAATGACACCTGTCAATATTCCTAAGTGTCATTCACAGTAATTTGAACAACAACAGGCGTAGCGAGCGGAGGGTGGTCACAATTAAAGCAGTGGTGAGAATCCATGTGAAAGCGGACAGCAGTCGGATTTACCATCTCCGATTTTAATGAAACTTACCACACATATAAAATATATAATATGTTCCACATATCATTGACTTTTTGAATGGAATCTCATTCCAATGTAAAAATATAGCGATTTGAAAATTGAAAAATATGTTAAAATTTCCTAAAAGTACATACACATAATTGCCCATAACTCTGAAACTACTTAAAGTCCAACATAATTTTTGATTTCATATTAAAGCCAAAGATATTGTCTTTAAAATCGTGTAAACAGAATATTTCACTTCCAAAAGGTTAAAGGTCAATTTTCATAGTGTATAATTCAATGTCAAATAGGTCAGACAGCCCCGTGTTAAACATGATAAAAATACATGGTATGAGGATACCTAAACTCTCTTCTATATTCTAGTGAAAACTTTTCGATGGAGGCTCGTGTAGTTCAGGAGTTATTAACCAAAACGTAATTTAAAACCAGTTTTTTATACAAAATTGTATGAAAAATTAAACAAACAGAAAAAATACACATTAGAATCAATTTCAATTTATATGGTAAATTACATTGTATCTCATAAACCACTGGTCCGATTTAAATGAAATGTGCAAGAAAATTATGAAGGACGATCAGGCCTTACTGGAGGTATCCTTTGTCATCACAATATTAAAATAAAAGGTGGAAAACAGCGTTTAAGAAGTCATCGACTTCAAAAATTATTTTAAAGCTTCTATCATCTATAAATGAGATCAAATCTAACTGATCATAAACTTTTCGTAATCTATACAATACAGTAAAGCTAGATCCATATTGCAATACTAATTAAATTTAAGGGTTTAAGAGATATAATTTAAATAAAGTAGTAGACAAAAGTTAAACAATTAAACTAAAATAATTTTTCAATTTTACTTATAACTTAGTACTACCATTAAGTTTTATAATACCCGTATTGTCTACTATAAGAAAAATTCAACTTCAGCCAAATCGGTCCTTATTTGCAGATTTGTGAAGCTTTAATATTTTTTTATAGACGAAGTACTCTCATTTAACACCACATACCTCACCTTGTATTTTAACAGGGCGGTAACAAGGTACATTTTCAGTAAGGTTAAATCGTTCTTAATAATTTTCTTGTACATTTTATTTAAATTGGTCCTGCAGTTTAAGAGATACATAGCATTTTCCATATAAATTGAATTGATTCCACTTTGTATTTTTTTCTGTTTGTTTAATTTTTCATACGATTTTGTATAAAAAAAACTTGCTTTAAATTACGTTTTGGTTAATAACTCCTGAACTACACGAGTCTCCATCGAAAAAATTTCACTAAAATATAGAAGAGAGTATAGGTATCCTCATACCATGTCCTATTATAATTTTTAATATGGGGCTGTCTGATATATTTGGCATCGAACAATACACTATAAAAATTGACCCTTAACCTTTTGGGAGTAAAATATTTTATTTGCACGATTTTAAAGACAATATCTTTGGCTTTATAACGAAATCAAAAATTATCCTGTACTTAAAGGAATTTCAAAGTTATGGGCAATTATATGTATATACTTTTAGACAATTTTAACATATTTTTAAATTTTCAAAGCGCGATATTTTTGGTCTGGAATGGGATTCCGACCAAACGTCATTGATTTAAAGAACACTTTCAAACCATAATATGTGTGGGAAATTTCATTAAAATCGGAGATGGTAAATCCGAAAATTGCTGTTTTCTGTCCGTTTTGATATGGATTCACCCAGTGGCTCAATGTCTATGTCGAGACAGTCGTCGTCTACTTCCGTTCCCAATGAATCGTCGCGAGCCTGAACACTATTTATACTAGTGTTGGACATACAATCTTTTATTGATATAGATGCATTATATATTCAAAGGTCAATTTATTCCTCCTATGGCAACTTCCATATACCTGACGAATCAATAATAACTTCAGATCTGTATAAGTTTGCTTTCTTATGATATATTAATGTACATATTTATACTAAAAAGTGCAAATATCTTATTAAGTAATTCATAATATTTCGCAAAATGAAATCTTTCAACTAAATATTATAATATTTTAAAGATTTCCAAACATTTTGGTTAACCGGTTTAACCGGTTTTTTTGTACTCGGTTAACCGACAAACCGGTTTTTTAGAAATGGTCAATTTTCGGTTAACCGAAAAACCGGTTTTTCCAAAAGTCGGTTTTTTATAAACACTACATCAGACCCATCATTCCCCTCTCAAGCCCACCACCGCCGAACAACAAACATTCTAATATTTATTTCTTTATTTTTCATTAGCTGATCATCACATTTATTCGAAACGATCTTGTGTTGTTTAATTTTTTTTCTTTTAATTTTTTTTTTTATTATTTGTTTTCTTTTCGCTACACATCATACACATTTTTTGCTATTATTCATCCATAAATGTATATCTACTACGTAAGTACGTATTCATTGAGTTTGAATTCTTTTAGTAACAAACAAATTAAACCCACTCTCTCTCTCTGTTTATGACAACCAGGCATGGAAAATTGAAATTTTTAAATGGTACTATTCTATGACAAATTGAGTTCTTTTTAGTTTTTAAAGTACTAAACTAAATTGACTATAGACTAAAATATAGACTAGACTATATATTAGACTGCAAACTAGACTATATACATTCTAGGCTACATACCGGATTATAGACTAGATTATAAACTAGACTAGGGAATAGACTAGATTGTATATTTGGCTATGTACTAGACTTTAAACTATACTATAAAATAGATTATAGACTAGAGTATAAACTAGACTATAATCTATATTATAGACTAGACTATAGACTAGATTCAAGACTAGCCTAAAGACAACATTATAGACTAGACCATATACTAGAATATATACTAGACTATAAACAAGACTATAGGCTAGACTATAGACTAAACTATCAACTAAACTACAGACTGGTCTATTGACTACTAGTTAAACTACTTATCAAAAATTTATATAATAAGAAAAAGTACCGAATATCTCGAGAAGGTACCGTAATATTTTTCGATATCAAAAAGCACTAAAGTATACAATTTTCCATGCCTGATCACAACTATATTGAGTAATAATAATTTTATTTCATTAAAACAGTACAATAGTAACAACAACAAACGAAACTGAATTTTTAATTTGATAAAAACCGTATTCCAACGTGTTGAATTGTTATACAGTAGTGTTAATAAAAGTAGTACTATTTGGAACTCATCAATATTTTTATATTTTCAAAAAAAATCTTATCATTCTCAAGATTAACTCGATTAGAACAACCGAAATCTCATTTAATTGGGGAGAAATTTTACCAAAAAAAAAATAAAAACAAGTAAAATACCCCTTCTTATTGAAAAGTTGGTCAAAAATAGATTTATAATACGAAAAAATTAGTAAAAAAAAACTCACTTATGTATGTATGTTGAGATTAAAAACATTTTTAACAATTTAAGATTGTTAACAGATATTTATATACATATGTAGGTATATTATTTTATAAAATTTTCTTTACTCCCTATAATTTTACACTTAACTGTTGTTACTCATATGTATTTCGCATACATTATTTGTTGTCAATGTATTTTTTGTTTTCTTTTTTTATTCATTTTGCGCTGTTTACTATTTTTAAAATGCTGAGTCATTCTTTTTGTTCTTATTTTTGCACAAAATACTCAATTCATTTCTTTGCTGCTTTTTTAACATTTTATCGAATCGAATAAAAGTGAATTTGAAATACATATCTTTAAACATAATATCAACAAGTTGTTGGTTGGTAAGATAGAGAATATTAAGCATAACAAGTTGTTAATTTAGTTTAAAATAAAAATTTAAATACAACATTTTTAATTTAAATTAATCTAATTAATATAAAGTATTAATCCTCTTTAAGAGGTTCGTTATATTTTAATTAGAAATCATTTTGACAAAGAATATCGAGTGTCAAATTAGAATATTATTAAACTTATTAACTTAAAGTGATATTGAATGTCATAATTTAGCAAGTAGAACTGTTACAGTTTATGACATTGTATATTGAGCCACGCCTTTTAAAAGTAGGCGTTTAAAATTTAATATTACAGTTAGATTAATTTATAATGCAATTTTTCTCAACTGCCAAGTCATCACAGATAGTGTTTAATTTAAACAGAAATCAAATGCCCTTGTTGTTGGAATCTTTGAAAAAATTGATAATTTCACTACAATTTTGTTTTTTTCAGAAGTCATGCTGAAACGCAAAATATAAAATTTCCCCAAGTCATTCGAGAACATAAATGAGTTGACAAAAACTTTCGAAAGTACCCTGTATGTGTAGGGGAAATTTTATTCTTTGCTAAAATAAAGATAAGAGAATATATTTTCAACATTTATAAAAAAAAAATTTGCACATAAATAAACATTTAAGAATTCTGTAGATGTTTTTTTGTAGGCATTTAGTTTAATTAAGAAGTATTTTAATTTAAAAAAGTATTAAAATCTCGGCAAAATATATGCTATTTTCTAAAACCAACTGAAAATATTGCTGAATCAGCTTAAACTAGAAAAATCTTCCTATTGCAAAAGAAAAAGCATTTTATATGTTTATTACTTAAATTATGACCACAATTATTGTAAATTGTGAGTAATTTAAAATGAAAAAAAAAAGAAAACACTAAATAATAAACAATTATTATCAACAAACAAAAAAGATTTGTAATAAATTTTTCATAGAATAATAATAGCAATAATTAATTAAATTTTGTTTTTAATTTTTAAGGTTTCTGCCGTATGGTTGATGTCAACAACAGCACCAGCAACAATTCATCGGTTTTGGGCATTTCCAGCGGCCATGCCAATGCAGCTACTGGCTCAGCTAACGGTTCGAGCAGTGGCATTTCCATGAGTGGCACAAATGTAGGCGCCGCTGGTGGTGCCGCCGGCATGACTAGCGATTTAATGAATAGTGCCGGTGCTCAAGGTGGCACCGATCGTTTAGATGCCTCTAGTGATAGTGCCGTCAGTTCGATGGGATCAGAGCGTGTACCCTCCTTGTCGGATGGCGAATGGGGTGAGGGTAGTGATTCGGCACAGGACTATCATCAGGGCAAATATGGTGGTCCCTATGATTACAGCTATAACAACTCTACTAGCAATAATCGTTTAAATGATGGCACTCGTCAACCTCCTGTAGCCCAGAAGAAACATCATATGTTTGGCAAGCGTTTCCTTAATGAACAGCCTGCTGTTAATGCGGCAAATGGTGCCAATCCTGCTGCCACTGGCGTCAATGGTGTGCTAAATGGTCCTGCTCATTCGATTAAATATGAATATGAACCTTATCCTCCGGTAGCTGGTCTACATGAAAATATGGACAATGGCCTGCAGGGTGGTGCCATGGGTGGTCCCACTCTAACCAAGGAACATCATACCTATGGCGGTGCCTACTCGCTCGACTTCTCGGTACGCACTCCCCGTACAGCCCATGAAATTGTCCAACATAACCACACGTACACCCTGCCTCAGGGCTCGGGATCACTACCACGCCCTCAGCAACGTGATAAGAAAACGTCTACATCATCCTCGTCTACCAAATCGTCCAAGTCTGCTCATAATAGTAGCGGCAGTGGCGGTGAGGAAGATAACTATTTGACACGCGATGAAAAACGGGCACGCGCCATGAACATTCCCATACCGGTGACAGATATTATTAATCTACCCATGGATGAGTTCAATGAACGTTTATCGAAATACGATTTGAGTGAGAATCAATTGTCATTGATACGTGATATACGTCGTCGTGGCAAGAATAAGGTGGCCGCTCAAAATTGTCGTAAACGTAAATTGGATCAGATTTTATCGCTTGAAGATGAGGTGAAACAGGTGCGTCGCCGTAAGGAAGATTTGCAGGCACAACGTGACCGTTTGTTTAATGAACGCAAAAGGGTGTCAAATAAGTTTGGTGCTTTGCATAGACACATTTTCCAAGTAAGTTGTGTTTCCAATAAGATTTTATATTGTTAAAAAACAATAACTGTTTACTTATAAAATTATTAACAAATACCATTTTTTATACTATTTTAGTACTTACGCGATCCGGAAGGCAATCCTTGCTCACCATCCGAATACAGTTTACAGCAAGCTGCCGATGGCTCAATTTATCTGCTGCCGCGCGATGCTGCCAATAAAAATGACACCTCTACTGGTGTGCTACAGCACGGCAGCACCGCAAATGGCAGCTCTCAACCAACACACCATCAGCAAATGTCACAAACACATACAAATGCCCATGTAGCCGGTGGTCACCATCATCCTCATCTGCAGCAGCAAGCTACCACTGCTGCTACTGCGGCTGCTGCATCTCTGGCTCACAGTCATGTGCAGCCACATCATCATCACCATCAACAGACACAGCAGCGTCTGCATCAGCCCGGACAAACCACGCATCCGCATCCACAAACACAGCATAATGGTGGTGGTGGAGCGGCGCATCAACAAAAGGATTGAAATCTATTGTGGCAACACTATGCAGCGCATTGGTTTCAAATTCATCATCATCAACATCGTCGTCATCATCAACAGAAACAGCAGCAACAAACCTCTAGTACTCATGGTATAGTACATTCTAATCATTATTATCACCATCATCATCCTCAAACTTCTTGTCACAATCTTCATTATCATCAATCTCCTTCTTCCCATTATTATCAACATCCTGGGCATTACGAGTCTACTTACTGTTGAACATTTGTATTCAGGGGTTTTATATCTTTATTATTTTCTTTCTTATATTTTAATAGTTTTTTTATTTTTATTATTATTTGTTAATTGTTAAATTAAGGCCGTATAAAGTGTGGGTTATGAGAAAAAAACTGATAAAACAAACAAAAAAAGAAAATTTTAAGATATTTTGCACAACAAAAATTTTAGAAAAGTTAATTTTTTTATAAATAGAATTTTAAATATTTTTAACTTCTTAGCTACAGCTTAATTTTATAACTTTGGTTTCAAATGTGATTTTTTTTTAAGTATAAAATAATTCAAAATTTTCCTTTTAATTATTTTTATTGTATTTCAAAAATTTTTTTTGGAAATAGAAAAAAAAGTAGATTGTTAATTAAAATTGGCATTTTTTAAAGAACATTTATATAACAAAATCTACACCACAACAACAAACAATTTTATGAATTTGTGATAAATTTTCAAATTTTAAAGAATGAATTTTTTCTTTTTTTTTCAAAATAAAAACCAAACTATAAAAAAAACAATTACAGCAGCACAATATTACATATGTACTTCTAAAATATTAATTTGTTTCCCCTTTTTAAACTAACACTCCCTCTCTAAAGTATCATCTCTCTCTCTTAACACTAGTGAAGTTATTTAAAAAAAAAATTAACTATTATTTAGTTTATATAATACAAGGAAATTATAAAAATATTTTAAAACTTCTAACAAATCGTAACAAATAAAAAATAATAATGTAATTATGGTTCCACTTAAGTTAAACAAAAAACTGTTAATAATATTTATACACCTAACAACAACATACACGTTTTATTAAATTATTAAAAAAAAATAAATAAAAAATGTACAATTTAGTAACTAAATATTAATTAAAATAACTGCTTGTTGTAAAAGCTTGTTTTCCTTGTTTAAAATATTGCTAATTTTTTTTCTTTTGTTTGTAAATTTTCTTTTTTTATTAATAATAGTTTTTTCATTTATTTAATTTATTTAAATTAAATATTCTTTTTATTTACCTTGTATACATATAAAAAATAATTATTAATTAGTATAACTAGTTTTGCTTGTAAAATGTTTAAGGCTTTTTTTTGGAAAAAAAACAGAAAATTAAGAGAAAAAATACAATAATGTTTAAGCATTTACTTTTATATATATAATTAAAAGAGAAAAAAATTAAAAAAATACACTTAAGTATATGTATTTACTATATAAAACAAACTATCATATTATAATAATAATAATAATGAAATATTCTCAACAAATAATATTATTTGGCTTATAGAAATTCTGTTTAAGTTGTTACACCTTCAGTTTTGTATAAGTCTTTTAATATTGAAGAATATTTAATTTTCTTTGTAAATATTAATTTTAAAACGTATAATTATTATACACAAAATAACACAAATTAAAGAAACTAACTTAAAACACTAATTGTTTTAGTATTTAAGGCGTGAAAAATAAAAACAAAAATTACAAATACGTACTTTACATAAATGTATAATGTATAAAATAAAAAAAAATACACAAAAAAAAAAAACTAAAAAAATAATATAAAATTGGTTTTATTCTTTTAATTTTTTTTTATTTCTCACAAATACAACTCGTATTTTAGAAGCTGCTCACCAAATGCTCCCGATTATTTCAATTCGTCTTTCAGACGTAAATTAGTAATATCATTCTTAAACATAAAGCACTCCCGACTATTTCAGTTACGCTTAAACAACTTCTACATCACAAAAAGAACTTTATGATGATAAAGTAAAAAAGTTGGTAAATTTGGAAGTAAAATTCTATTTTTAATTGTATAAGGGTGTGGCTGTGGGCTGAAAATTTGTCTGCTGTAAAAATCTTTATTTTCAATCTTTTATATTAACCCCAAATTTTCTTAAATATTCCTAGAACTTTAAAAGTTATAAGCAAAAATGTAAATGGGGTATTCAACCATTTGCTTTCTTATCTATTCTTCTGATCACCTAATACTTCGTGGAAAAAATACGATAATTTTTTTTTAAATTTTAGTTTATATGGTTTGCTGTTATGTATTTCAATCAATAGCTCAATAATAACATGTAAAAAGGTTAAATTAATGCAAATGATTTTTTCAGTGTATTTTTAATATTGCCATATGATTCTCTATTATTTGTAATGTTACCATCCTATTTCTTTTGATGATGTTACCAGATCAATACATGTATGTCATTGCAAAAATATATGAAACAAGCAGCTCCTGTGCAAAAAATCATTATTATAGGCTTTTTCGCTAAAATTTTCAAAATTTATAAATTTTTTAAGGAGATAATGCAAAAAAAATATTTTTTCAAAATACCTTATAGTAAATATTTTCTTTATAAATTTTAAAATATTTTGTTACAGTTTTCTTTACGAAAAATACAAATTTTTTCTTGAGTTTGGTGCTTTTTGCATTTAAAAAGTTGACAACATCGCTAGGAAGAAATAGCAAAAACAAAAGCCGAAAGATTTTTGCATTATTAAACATTTTAATCAAATCAATTTGTAATTCAAAAAGAATATAATTTTTTAGTAAAATTGTCGATAACAAGTAAAAAATAACTAAATTTCTAATGGAGCAAATGGATGTAGATTTGGATATGAAGGCTGGATCATCTAGTGAACTTAATACCGGTGGTGATGGTTCTACAAAACCTAAAGTGAGTGTAGGTACCGGAATTATAGGAGCAAATGTAATGGCTGATGCCAGTACAGTGCCATCGGTAACAATTTCTCTACATCCATTAGTAATCATGAATATATCGGAACATTGGACACGTATACGTGCTCAAGCGGGTGAGACATGCCAGGTGTATGGAGCTTTGATTGGCAAACAAAAGGGACGTAATATAGAAGTGATGAATTCATTCGAATTAAAAACGGATATAGTGGGCGACGATGTATTTATCAATCGGGATTATTATATGACCAAAGAACATCAGTATAAGCAGGTAACTTGCAGAAAAACCTCAGCTTATGGATTTAATTTTTTTTAGCGAAAGTAAACTATTTTGTTTTTTGTATTTGAAGGTATTCAGTGAATTGGACTTTATTGGCTGGTATACCACCGGCGAGTCACCCACTGAAAAAGACTTGGCTATACACAAACAAATAGCAGAAATCAACGAATGCCCTATCATGTTACAATTGAATCCTTTGTCACGCAGTGTTGATCAACTTCCTTTGAAGCTTTACGAATCTGTTATTGATATAGTACGCAGTGAAGCCACTATGCTTTTTGTACCCCTCACCTATACTCTGGCAACAGAGGAAGCTGAACGCATTGGAGTTGATCATGTTGCCCGCATGTCGACTAATGATACCGGTGAAAAATCCTATGTTGCAGAACATTTGGTGGCCCAGGAGAGCGCCATTAAAATGTTGAATACACGCATTAAAATTGTCTTGAAATATATTAAAGATGTGGAAGCTGGTAAATTGGCTGCCAATCAAGAAATTTTACGAGAAATTTATGCATTAAGTCATCGGTTGCCCGTGATGCAAGGTGGAGCTTTTCAGGAAGAGTTCTATACACAGTGTAATGATGTTGGTTTAATAAGTTACTTGGGTTCGATGACAAAAGGTTGCAACGATATGAATCATTTTGTTAATAAGTTTAATGTGCTTTATGATCGACAAGGTTCGGGCAGGCGTATGAGAGGACTCTATTTTTAGACTACTTATTAAAAAAAAATATAAATATAAAAATGGTAAACAATATAATATGTATACAAATGCAAACATTTGCAAAATAAATTCTTTTTAAAAGATGTAAAGATGGAGAATTATTTTAATATTATTGGTTATTTTTTAAGAATCTAAAGAAATAAAAACCAATTTCTAAATAATATGTAGTTCTTTTAGAAATATCTTTAAAATTAGTTAGACAAGTCAACAAAATTAAGCTTATTGTGTGCTTTTTAAATAACAATAGCTAACTCTTATGTATTTCCACCCGCTGAGTTCAAAAATGGTTTTGAAAATTTCTCGTTTCCGAGATATTACTATAGTTATCGAGAAATTTGTTAGTATTTTTAATATAATTTTTAAGAACTGACATAAATCCAGAGTTTTTTAACAACACGGTAATCTACGCGAAATTATTCTTTTAAATTGTATAATCATGCTGACAGTTATTGCAGGATAACTTGCAAGGAAGTTGAAAATTGTACTTTTTTGTTTTATCCATTTGATAACATTGAACTCGGCAGGCTAGGAATCAATAATTTTCATTTAAAAGGCATTCCCAGTGTTGTGTAGTGTTATCTTTGTTACAAACATATTCGGAACACACTTCAGTTTTTCTAATTTTCAGCAGCTTAATATATTGAGTATAAAAATTGATTGTTTTGGTTAATGTTGATTATACTTACAAATAATAGTAAGTGGAATATTATCACAGCAGCATTAGAAAATAATTAACTTCATTAACTTAATTTTCTTTTCAGGATCTCACATCAAATATTATTTTTAATAAAGATTTTCGTTTTTCATTTTTTTTCTTAAGATTCAATCACATTTCTTTCTTAGCTTTTTAACAATTATTCAAATGAAGTACATGAATGTAAAAATATATAAGATTATTATTACTTTTTGTTAAATGATCCACATGTTACTAATAAAACCATTAAATTCATAACACTTCCAACTACTTTTGAATGCTACTTTTGCTATTGGAAAAAGTCGAGAAACGATCTAATCAAATGTGTTATTAACTTTATAATTGCCAAATATTTAAAGGTATCTTTTTGGAAATACGTAAACTAAATTCATTCATATTTTGCACTACAAATGCGTATAGTAAAAATACAGAAAAATAAAATTATATTAGTTTTGTAGATAGAGATAACTACCCTACTTTTAAAGCTTAAAAACCTACAGATGTAAACCTTTTATAAAGGAGTACGGGTGTTGGAATATATTATATGTAGTGTTTAAGGGTTTCTAGAAAAGAACAGAAATAACTATAATTTTCTTTACGTATACAACAATCGAAATCATTCATGTCCATTTGAAATCTAATGATTGTAGTCTTCTAATTTTAAATTAGCAAATTGTTGTAGAAATTCAACTTCTAATGGATGCATTTCTTTGGCAGGTATAACAATCGAATGCAGCGGTCCTCCCAAATCTGTGGAGGCCATATCACGCAACGTACTTACTACGATGCGTTGATTGTCATGACCCACGCGGGCCAAGCCCACGCACAAAGATTGTTCATTTAGAATGGTATTGCGTTCCAAAGCATCTTTCTTCTCAACTATTACGAGAAGTTGTTGGGCTGCCTCGGCTACGGTCATGAAACGTGGAGGCATAAACTCCTTTCGCCCCCGCATCAATGATTCCAGTGTGGGCTCCTTAACCTTGATGTCCAGCAGACATAGGGTGTGCATATTGTGCAGTCGATTAAGTTTGATTTTGTCGTAAAAGCTATCGGGTTTCCAAGTCTCATCCCAATATGGGATAGATACTGTTTCACCGAATTTGTACAATTGAAGGCCACAACAGCCGATGGCATTCATTATGGAGGCATTGTGTATAACTTTATAGGGGATTTTCTTTTCTTTGGCTCTTAAAATAAAATCAGTATGTGTAGTGGCTCCAAATGGGTCGCCCACCACTAGTAAAGCAACATCCTCTTCACCGGAACCAGCCAAAATTTCATCAGCACCTTGTTCAACAAGGTCACGATCTGCCAATAGTATAGGACGTCCATAGAATGCTTCCTATTCATAAGAAAATTATTTTAGTTTTAATTAAATATTATGGAAATAGTCGTCACACTTACCAATTCCTCTTTAGGACAGCCCAATATGGAGGTATACATTTCTAAATATACTCTTGTGCATTGTTTTACAATTTCAAGGCCTTTTACTGTAATGTCCTTGGGATCTCCCAAACCCAAACCAATTAAATAAAACATGATTGTGAGTTTGTGTTTGTCTCTGCTTGTGCGTGCGCCTTTGTATGTGCGTTTATTTTTATTTTTGCAAAACTTTAAATAAAACCTATACTCTTTCGAATGTACACCTATTCCCTTATTGGAAATCTTCTAAATCCTTATTTTTGTATTGAGAATTTTTGCAATTTTACACTACTTGCGAAATTAATCCTGATTTCCTGCGACGACTAAAAAGCTTTGGGACAGACACGTGCTGTTTGCTTGTTGCTTTTTTTTTTCTTGTAAAAATGTTGTCTATGCCGTCAAAATATTTAGTGTCTGCCACCGCCGTTAATGTTTGTAGGCGCAGTACTCTGCATGCCCGATTTTATGTTTACATTTTTTACTGCAAATTCGTCTGAGGCTCAGCAATTTGCTGTTTTTTATATAAACTTAGCAGCGAACTTAATAAAGAAGGCAGGGTATCTCAGATCAAAAGTTCATTTTGAAAATGACGCCAAATCACTTTATACGTAAAAAAAAACTTTTACGGAAGGTATGCTATTCAGAAAATGTGATTATAAACAATAAAGAAAAGCAAGCTAGAGTGCTATATTCGGTCATATGGAATATTACATACCCTTCACCTATAAGCTAGTTTTTTTAAGAAAACGAATGTTTATAGAAAGATAAATTGTATATAAATTTATAGTTTATTATAGAAATTTATTTTTTTATAAAATGTTTAAGTTTTAATTTGGTTTCATCCTGATATTATTAAGTATTGAGTTATTTACGATAAGGTGATTTTCAAAAAAAGGCGTTATATGGGAGCTGTGACCAATTATAGGACGATACGAAAAAAATCAAAATGATTTACAAGAGATGTTCGAGTCGAATTTTATTCCGATATCATTATTAATTCATGAGTTATATACGATTAAGTGATTTTTAGAAGTACATACATATACATTTTATGGGACATATGACAATATTTTCATAGGTTTCGGAATTTTGTTCATATCTCCGTCGTTAATGGACCGATTTTGCTGATTTTAAATAGGAAGGTGTGTCTTATAGAATTATTGAAGATTTGAATATCGCGGGAATCTGATGGCTTCAGAAAATGAAAATTGCTTCCAATAAAGTACATACATATGTACTTTATAGGATCAGAAAATACTATTTCAAACCATTTGTATAATTTCGAAAGTTTTTATTTCATTTGAATAATTAAGTGAAAATTAATACATTATGAATAATATTTAAGCAAATTTAATATGTATTTAGATTTGCAAATTGTTCTAAAATATTGCCAAATTTTTCAAAATTTGAGTTACCCTGTTATTAATATTTGAGTTTATAAGAACTTAAACGTAATAATAACTACTACGTTTTTAAGCGTATCATTTTATTGCCACCATAGTTTCATGGACGCATGTCTGATAAGTGTCAAGAAGAAGAAATACTTGGAATGTTTTGACATCTAAACATCTAGCTACATACATATATTTATACAAGTCACAATAAGAATACTTCATTCACAATTAATGTAGTGTATTGTGACATAGGAAATGTTTATATAGATATGTATGTAAATATATGTATACACATACTTCAAATGAACATACATATACATATGTATTTATAAACAAATATAACATTATCTTTAATATAAAACTATCCAAGTATAGTTCATTTTAAAGTATATATATTGTACTTCATATGACAGGGAAAATATTGTAAAATGTTGTTGTGTTGTTTTTCTCACTAACGCCATCTAGTGTTGGTAAAATACTGCAATAATGTTTATATCAACTTTACAGAAATAATAAAAAATTAGACAATGTTTCTCCAATGAATAAATTTGGAATCTATAAATTAAATTAATAATATAATGTTTTTGTTTCGATTTTATGTCAAAATTTATTAAAAATCAAAATTCCAAACAAATTGTGTAACAGGTTATTGTGAATCAATTATGAATTCATGTGTATACGTCAACAATTCGTTGTCGTTGTTGTTGTTGCTGCTTCTCTCGGCTGTCAGATGATATGCGTTATACATATCGTTTGTTCAATTTTCGACATGCGCCATACATAAAATCGATTTCATTTACGTAGTGAAAATATCAGTATACAACAATCAAATACGTAATCGAAGTTTTTGTAGTAAGTGAGTTAGTTCTGCAGTTAGTTGAGCAAGACGTAAACACTACACTGGGTAAATCAAATATAATTATATATTATAAAATGTCCAGAGATGATTTTTATAAAGCTTCTGAGGAAAATATTTCATATATGTATTTGCAATAAGTAAATATAAATTAAAATGTGAGAAAACTAGAATGTGTATTCGCATTTTCACTATAGCCAAAGGGATATTAATGTATAATTCGCGTTTTTCATTGCTTTCCCACTCTTGAATCTGATCTCATACATGACTTTTTTCATATTTGACAAAAATGAGGTGACCCCAAGAATACATATTTAGCCAATGCTTGATACATCCCAAAAAAGGAAGTCCCTGTGTCTGGTCTAAGCTCAGATATAAAGGATAAATAATTATAAGCCATACAAAATAACCACCATACAAACTGGTTTCTTTTATATATTTTTTTTTTTCATTCAGTTGAAAAATACAGTTTAAATTTTTATAAAACCCCAAAACAAGAAAATATCATAAGAAACATAAACAAGCAAAATTTAAAAAAATATAATTTTATTTCATTATAAAAAGAACTATAATTACCCTGTTCTTAAAATAACTTCTTTGAAACACTCTGTATACGGAATGCAATTACGTATTTACATCTTAAGCATATATTTCCATTTTAAGTATTTACGTATGAAATGATGGAGACGCCTTGCTGTATGATACATGCTGTGTCATTCGTGGCCTTGCCACTCATATGTATATAGAGTATTCCTTATAAGAAAAGTTGACGGATGGTAGCATCAATAATAAAGCAAAGACCGAGAGCGACGCGAAATACATAATTAAAAAAACAGAAAGAAGAAGCAGAAAGGAAGAATAATTAAACTTCAAAGTCAGTGGAAATTCAAACGCCGTCTTTTTAAATTTGATATATATATTGTTGACAGTGTATAACCGGTAGTTTGCAAAAGAAAAAATTGTAAAATAAACTGTTTATAAAATTAAAAGTTGAAACGAAAATCAATGAACAATCAATTTAAAAATGAACAATTAAGTGTGTACTTAAAAATATAATAATTGAAAGATAAAACAATTTATATAAAAAAGAAATTTAAAAAACTGCTTATATTTCTGTAATACAAATAAAAACAAGTTGTGTTTTTGTGGTCAATTGAATAATATAAAAGACATTTGTGTTTTTTTCGCAAAAAAAACTTCAAAAATTAATATTGAATAGGATTAACGTCGTCAAATATAAAAATATCTACTAGCGGCTTGAAAATACTTTTGACGTCGTCTTTGCATTAACAACTGTGTAGTTTTGTATATTTTCCAGTTTGCATAAAACAAATGAAATTAATTTAAAAAAAGAAAAGTAAAAGGAACATAAATTCAATAACTAGTGAAAAATTAAATTATATATATAATTATTTTCCATATAACAAACTTTTTAATATCCCTTCTATATAAAATAGATGTGAAATATAAGAAATACAAAAAGTGGAAGTTTTTTTATACAAATGCTGCCTTTCCGCGTTAATAAATTTGCGTAGCCAGGCAGAGAAGAAGAGGAGAATCGACGCACATACATACATAATTACTTATAGGAACACATACACACATTCATATGTGTAGATAGAAATTTTTGTAACAAAATAAAAAACGAGAAAATACAACAACAATATCAAAATGGGTATAAACACGGATAATTCTAATAACAGTGATGGCAACGCGCTAAAAGATAATGAAGTGACACCAACTACAACAAATCAACTAATGCAGTCGGGAGGACAATCTAAACAGGCATCGATTCCAGATCCACTTCCAGTTACTCCAACACATCATAACCAAGGGGATGTAACAGAAATGCAGTTAACCAGCTTATCTACGGAAGACGCGCTTGAAATGGATACGGCAAACTCCGATAAGTGGCAGCAGAAATTTCGTTGGAGAAGAGTTTTTAATACAACCGGTCCTCAACCCCGGCCACGTCACGGTCATCGAGCCATAAATATAAAGGAATTGATGGTTGTATTTGGCGGTGGCAATGAAGGCATCGTTGATGAATTACATGTTTACAATACCATAACAAATCAATGGTTTGTGCCAGCCATGAAAGGTGATGTACCGCCCGGATGCGCCGCTTATGGTTTTGTTTGTGAAGGCACCCGAATGTTTATATTTGGTGGTATGATTGAATATGGCAAATATTCCAATGAACTTTACGAGCTGCAAGCTACAAAATGGGAATGGCGCAAAATGCAACCAGAGGCCCCAGATAATGATGCTCCGCCCTGTCCTAGGTTGGGACATAGCTTTACGTTGGTGGGCGAACGTATATTGTTATTTGGCGGCTTGGCTAATGAATCCGATGATCCCAAGAACAATATACCCAAGTATCTTAATGATTTGTTTATTCTGGAGACCAGAGGTGCCCACAGTCACAATGGCAAGTGGATAGTACCCAAAACTTACGGTGAAAGTCCACCTCCTCGAGAGTCTCATACAGGTGTAAGTTTTACTTGTAAAACCACGGGCAAATTGTATCTTTTAATATACGGGGGTATGAGTGGCTGTCGTTTAGGCGATTTGTGGTTGTTGGACATTGACACCATGACTTGGTCGAAGCCTTGTACCAGAGGTAGAGCTCCATTGCCACGATCCTTGCACAGCGCTACTATGGTTAACAATAAAATGTATGTTTTCGGTGGTTGGGTGCCTTTGGTTGTAAACGATTCAAAAGCCACGACGGAGAGAGAGTGGAAATGTACCAATACGTTGGCCGTTTTAAATTTAGACACAATGACCTGGGAAAATGTTACCATGGACACAGTTGAGGAGAATGTGCCACGCTCAAGAGCCGGCCACTGTGCTATTGGCATTCACAGTCGCTTATATGTTTGGTCTGGCCGTGATGGCTATCGAAAAGCCTGGAATAATCAAGTGTGCTGCAAAGATTTATGGTATTTGGAAGTGGATCGGCCTTTATACGCCGTGAAAGTGGCTTTAGTAAGGGCTTCTACGCATGCTTTGGAAATTTGTTGGCCAGCCACGACTTTTGCATCGGCCTATGAACTACAAATACAAAAAATAGAACCTCCCACGGGTATAGTAAAAGTAAACCCATCTCCTGGGCCCGTAGCTCCTCTTAGTGCTACTCCACAAATTATGCCTAATGGTAATCAAACTGGTGCTGGTTTAAATGCTGCCAGCAATACGGGAGGTGCAGCTACCAAATTTCATCGTATACAAACTCCGACTTCAGTACCCATTGTACCGGCTGCGGCTGCTACAGCTGGAGTTACACCCATAACCACTACGGCTCCAATTGATCAAACATCGGTAGCAGCTGCTCCGGTACGAGCCACCAATAGCAATCAAACAGTGGTTGCAAATAAATTGCAATCACCCGTTTTAGCCCAACAGACATCCGTCAACGCGACTGTACAACCTGTAAGTACTGGAATTTATATAGCACAACCCCAACCACAAACAATGGTAACGGCTTCGGCAGGAGTTGCCACCACAACACATGCTATTACCTCTGTTGCGGGAGGCAATTTGAATCAAACTCCTGCCCAATCAACAGTGGTAAATAGTGGATCTAATATCACCACTATATTGCAAAAATTCCGGCCAACATCTGTAGTTTCAAGGCCCGCCACCACCATAACCAGCACTGTCAGTTCGATGGTTTCTCCTATAACATCCCAACAAATGGTTATTACTTCAGGAACCTCAGCCAATGCCGGTACAGGGTTGCGTGTAGTTAACACCGTCTCACAACCTACAATGGTGGCTACAAGCTCGGCCAACAGTACAGTGCGTTTGGTTTCGGCCACTGGATCACCCGCTTTGCGTTTAAGTACAGCTCCAACGGCCGCCAATACCACAGCTGTTCTGAAAACTACTGCCGGAACTCCTGGTCAGGTTACAACTGTCAGTCAGATTACCGGAAATCAAACCATACAGCAAACATCATCTACCAGTGGAGGCACAACATCGACCACCATCGGAGGCAAACAATACATCATACAAAAACCGTTAACTCTAGGTTCCAATGTACAATTTCAATTGGTTAAGACCAGCAGTGGCGGCGTAGCTGTTCAAACATTTCCTAAAATTAATATTAACATGGCTAAAGGCACAACGACAGGAGCAGCTGGTGGCCAGACAGTAGGCCAAGCAGGTACTGGAGTCACTAACAAGCAGACTCAGTTTATAGTAAGCGGAAATGCTACGGGTCAGCAAAAACAAATTGTTCCCGGCAACCTTGTGAAGTTAGTCTCGCCGCATACTCTTAGTGGCGGAAAGGTGATTATGAAGAACTCCAACATTTTGCAAGTAGGAAAAATGACATCGAATGTCTCGGGCAAACCGGCTTTTGTTATTACCAACAAACAAGGACAACAGCTGACCAATCAACAGATCATTATAGTCACCACGGGCGCTGGTATACGTACCATACCATCGGCGGGAGTTGTGACTAATGCCTCATCTTCCAATATTGTGTCGATAGTGGGTTCTACATCAACTACGGTCTCTAGCACCACACGGAATGTAGTAAACACCCAATCTGGTATGAAAATGCTGCGCAATGTACCGACAAGTGCCGTAAGACCCATTACTATCACCTCGTCAGCGGGCAATAACAATGCAACACAACAGCAATTGACAACACATCAGACACAGCAATTTGCGAATGTTAGTGCAGCCAGCGGAGGAATGCATCAGAAAACTATAACACTGGGCGGCAAAGCCGTGACGGTGCAAATGTCCTCCAATCCAGCCACCATAACAGCTGTACCGAAAACCGTTACCATAGTCGCTTCCAATAGTGGCCAATCACAAACACAAAATCAAATTATTACCACGGGCGGCACAAGTGGCGGTACTACTGGAAAACTCGTTATGGTACCCACCAATTCGGCAGCAGCGGCTGGCAAAAAGGGTTTTGTTAATATATTCAATGCCAGCAATACATTGCAACGTACTATAACGCTGTCATCTAAAGGTACTGTTGTTCAACAGCCCAGTCAGCAGACTATCACAACTGCAGCTACCATTGGCGGTAGTGGTTCAGGCGATAATGCCAATGATGCCATTGCTATAGCTCTGGGCGACCAGGCCTGCAACGAAGGTGACGCCATGGATGATATAATAGAACAATTGGACGGTGCCTGTGAAATTCCCTACGAAGGAATCACAGAAGACATGGAACAAAACGACAACCAAGCTAGTTTACATTGCTTTGATTATCAGAATAATTTGGATTTAAGAAACAATTTGCCAGATCCTTTCAAAAGTAATCACTCCGAAATATCTGAAGAACGAAAAGCGGCAGTAGCAACAGCTTCATCACCAACAACAATAGATAGTTACGTAGGCGCATCGATATGAAGATTTTTTTAAACTTATAATTATTATTAATATTATACATATTATTATGTTTATTAAGCTAGAATAACAATAAGTTCATTGGATGAAATTGTTGGTTAAATGAATTCAGATCATTTTCTCTGTCTCCCTCTCGATAAATGCAAACCAGTTTTTTTATTTACAATAGACTCACACTAACACACACATACGTATGCTGTATGAAATCATTCATATAAATACTTTGTTTTTCTTATTCATTAATTCATTAATTTTACTGTATGCTTTATTCCTTTTTCGTACTATTTAATGTTTCTTTTACATTTTATGAATTAGATGTAATTAAAATTAAAAAAAAAACATTTTTTGACTTTGAAAATAATAAAGGAATAAAAAAAAAAAATGTACACACAATATCTTACTTTTAATATACATCATATGTATTCATAATAGAAACACGATAATGTATAACTTTCGGGGTAGAAAACTTTTATTTTGGGAATGCTGAATCCGAACATATTGGACAAGAATTTTTTACTACTTTATCAAAATGTTAGCCGGAAAACTAATCATTCATATTCTGCATTTCGATTACGTTACGCAATGGTCGCAAAAAGGTGTTCCAACAGAAGAAAAAGCAATTCCAGCTTTACGATCGTAGCTAATTTTTTGTAAGCTGTTAATTTATTGACGAAGTTTCGAATAGAAATACAGAATATCAATGGTACCAAACAGACAAAAATCCGATTCGAATTGAAAATCTTTAGAAGAAATATATAATAATTAATTCACTAAGTTTGTTATTGTCAAGTATATTTACTTTCATTCAGTCGTTTAAATTACGCAATCAAGTAAATCCATTAAATAGTTGTCATATAAAATGAAAAATCCAGTATTTTCCGTCAAATATATACAAAAACAAATAGATAAAACTAAAGCAGATTTAAAAAGGAATGTATTCTTTTTAGAATCTACTTTAAAATCCAAAGAAATAAACATTTAGCTTTATGAAAAGTCAAATTAAAATTTAAAAAAGTAACGGTCTTGAACTCGTTAAAGTTCACTTTATTTACAGGCAATTTATAAAAACCTGCGTTTTTATAATAGTTGTATGTATTACTTTTAACAAGGACACATTAAGCAAATTAAGTTAAAATAAAGTTAACTAAATAATTACCATGGCATAATTAAAAAATTTAAGAAAAATAATAATTTTCATTAAAAAACAAACAAAAACAATAAAACATAATATTGTTTTTAGTCATTTTTTTAATAAATAAAATCATTAAATAGGTTATTTCCGTAAATATATCTTCTCCATTGTTTAATAAAGCCGGTTAAACTTGTTGAAAATATAACGTATTTTTTAGAGTTGTTTCTTTACTATGATTATCATTATTATTATTATTATTTTTATTGTTATTATTGGAGTACATTAAACTATATTTTGTAATACTACTCTACCCGAGGTGGCAATGAAGTATAAACAATTGTTTAAGCACCTTTAATATGAAACAGACAATCAAAACAGCTCCAAGAGCGTCTGTGCCACTGCCATGGTTTTTATTTGACTATAAATGTAAACTACTACCAACGCTACTGCTGCAACTATTTCAACTTCTTTTTTCTTCTATTTTATGGTCTTCTTAATGTGCCAATGGAGTGAGTACTATTGGTGAAGTGTGTTTTTAATACAGTATGAAAAATAGTATTTCATACAGTTTCAAATTTATAAGTTTCGATCTTTTGATATAAGTTTTGAACGGAAATTTAACTAAAACTGAATTGAAACTGCAGTGAAACTAAACTGAAATTGAAATGAACTGAAACTGAAATTAAACTGATCTGAAACTCAGCTGAAAATTAACCGAAACTAAACTGAAACTGAACATAATAATAGTGCCTTTTATTGTTATAACTATACATTTCCATACTGTATCAATTACACTTGTAGTTTTATTTATTTACATGTTCACATTTTTTTTTTTTACAAATACAATTTAACGGTATGGTCGTATCTACATAGATACCACAGATACAACAGCGACTGCTGCTATGATGATGATTTTTTTTCAGTTATTTAGTAATAAAAATATTTTTAAAAAATACAAACAATAACAGTGGCATAATAACCAAATTTGTTTGTATATTATTCAATTTAAACTAATCGGTCGGCTAAGCAAGACGTCAATAACGGTTAAATTTGAATTTAAAATATCTACCCATAAAAAAAAAACAAAGAAATCAAATCAAATGTTTTATAACAACTTAAAAGGATTTTTATTAATGTGCTGCCTAGTAACCGTTATCTATGGCAATAATAGCGTGCAAAGTGAATATTTATATAAAAAAATCATAAAACCCAATACACCCTCGATGATACAAACGATAAAGCAAGATATGCATCAAGCATTTTGTTCGATAACTAATAATACCCGCCTGTTAAAACAAATGTATGATTTTGAAACGGCAAATACGGATATTTCAACGTTACTATTTAAATTACCGAACAGTGAAGAATCACCCGAAACTGAAACGTTAATATTAATGAATCGTCGCGAATTTATAACGCCCACATTTCCGAATCTCACCAGATCATATATGACATTGAGACGTTTGAAAGTGGCTAAATCTCCGTTAGAGGAAAATATGACGGAACTTTTGAAGTTGGAAATGAAAAATATTGTAAAAGATTATGTGTATGATGGCTGGACTGATATGGGTCTGGATGGTTGGAAGGGTGATATAGCAGATTCAAAAATACCCATATATCATAAGTAATTAATTCTTTTGTGTTAATTTTTCTTATTATGGGGTTAAAACCATATTGTGATCTACTTTAATCCACTATTCAAAAAGCTATAGTTTAAATTAGAGTTTTTTATGAAAAAGTGTTCACTAAAAAAATCTACTTTAATATTCAGGCCGACAATATGTATTTAAAAAAAGTCGATATAGAAAATTTTTTGTCTTCTGATACTTCTGACTATTGGCTTCAAAATAAAGATTAAAGCTGTTGTATCTTGTTTCAAGGTTCAAATAGCATGTTCTTCATTAATATTTTTTTGCAAATTTAGGTTAAGATTGGCTTTTCAGAAAAATTAACATATCACGACAACCTGATTCAGATTCAGATCAGTTTTTGTAATATAACAACAACTTAAAATAGGCTTTAATAATAAGGGCTTAAAAAATTAGTTAAACTCTACTTTGAAAAAGTATATATTTAAAATTACTTTTGCAAAATATTTTTCACTCGAAACTGATTATGAACGTGATTTAAATACTTTCAAATTCTCTCACACTTTTCAATAGATATCCTACAACTATAACAAATGATTATCCACATGCCGATATAACTAAAGATTTAAGTAAAGGAGAATCGAATGATTTTTTTCAAGATATCACCACTAATACGTTGAAAATTGAAAAGGCCGAACAATTGAAAATACAAAAAGAAATGGATAAAAATGTATATATAGCCAGAGCTAACGATCCATTTGGTTATTCAACAAAATGGCAAACAAGGTAAGAATTTATGGCATAAAGCTTTTGTTTAAATACTATAATAAAGTGTAGAAGTGTTCACTTACCTTTAAGTGCACGAAACTTTGGAAACTTGTTTGTTATATTTTGCGAGAATTTTTAACCTAATTTAAACCATTATATTGAAAAGTATTTAGAATTCTTAGAAATTGCATATAGTTTAAGGAATTTTGCTTTTTAGGAGTCCATTAAAAATGCATCTATATAAAAATTATATAAAAAAAATTATTTCGTTTAATAATATTATAAGAAACCAAAATATAACTAGAACATAACTTAAATAGAACTAGAAGAGAACTAGTACAGAAGTAGAACGGAACTAGAACAGGACTAGAACAGGACTAGAACTGAACTAGAATATAACTAGAACAGAAGAAATCAGATTTTTGGTAAAATATTTTTTAGTAAAAAATCGGTTTTTATGGAAAAAAGCGAATTTTCTGTAAAAAATAAATTTCTAGTGAAAAATGGGGTTTTTCCGAATACAAAGTAAAAAAAAATAATAAAAATCGTATTTTTAATCAAAAATTGATTTTAAGGAAAAATTAAAATTTCAGAGAAAAATCGTGTTTTGAGTATTTTTTAAAAATACGATTTTTTATTTCACTAAATTTTTTAATATTTCCAATATATTTTTTTACTAAAACACGATTTTCAGTGAAAAATTTAATTTTTAGTGAAATGTGTATAAAATTAAAAAAAAATTTTGAGGTTTTTTATTGAAAATCCGAATTTCAATCACATATTCACACTTTTAAACAAATATTTAATATTTTTAGCAAAAAATAGAAAATTTTATTTTACCAAAACTCACATATCTTTTTAACAAAACTGATAATTTTGCAACATCCTAAATTTAAATTATTCTCAAATTTCATTTTAGAAATGTCTCGAATCAAAACAAATATAAACGTGATGTTTTGCGTCTCTATTCGATGATTAAATGTTCAACCGGATGTGAACCACTAGTGTACAAAGGTTACGGTTGCTATTGCGGTTTCTTGGGTGATGGCATACCAACGGATGGTATTGATCGTTGCTGTAAATTACATGACAAATGCTATGAATACAGTAATTGTATATCATATTTGGAGTATTTTGTGCCGTATGTTTGGAAATGTTATCGTGGTAAACCATTGTGTGCCATAGATCACGGTGAATGGGGTGGACCGCAGTCGTGTGCGGCTCGTTTGTGTCACTGTGACCTGCGGCTTTCGAGATGTTTGCGTCAGTATGCTTGTCCTGGTCGCAGAGCAGTATGTCGTTCGTCCGCTTCGAGAAGGCTGCAGAATTTGTTGTTGACAAAGTAATTTGGTTATTATATGTATATTAAGTTAACTGTTATGTAGTATGTATGAATATATGTTTATTGTTTTTTATTAATTAATTGTTTTATTTTTATATTAATGGTAGCATTTGCTTTACGATAAACGTAAACTTTTCCTAGAGCCACTGCGTCCCTTTGAGGTACCTCCACCAGTGGAGGAAGCTGTTGAACTATTCGATTTTGTATCACGAGTTTCTCGATCCATCTTGTGTCCCGTTTCACAACCATTAGCCATAAATTCTCTTATATTTTGACATTCTTGTTGAAACTGTAGAATAGTTTTAAAAGT